ACGCCGTAAGGGGGAAAAGAGAGAGAGAGAGAGAGAGAGAGAGAGAGAAAGAGAGAGAGGAGATAGAGAAGGGGGAGCATGGATAGCACTAGCGATCTTTATCCTGGCTTGTACAGCAAAGGAAAGGGGGATGAACGCCCTGAAGCGCTTTTTGCCATGTAGCGCGGCTAATCAGAGGGTCTGCCTCTGGCTCCCAAGGAGAAAGAGGAGGGACAGAGAGAGGTAATGAAATTGGAAGACATAGAGCTAGACAGCAGTCTACCGTATCGGGCAGGAGGAGGTCATGGAAACCGTACCTGATTGCGAAGATTCTACGAGGACACGACTTCGATCAAAGCCATCATCGACACCTCAATGATCTTATGGAGATATGGAACGCAAATCAACTTCCATCATTGCTCTGCTGCCATTGGATGCTTCAGGTCCGTGGACATGAGCTGTCCAGGTCCAGGTCCGGGTCCAGGTCCGGCGTAGCTGCCACTGGATGCGTCAGGTCCGTGGACATGAGCTGTCCAGGTCCGGGTCCGGGTCCGGGTCCGGGTCCGGCATAGCCATGAATTGTGATGGGGTGTGAACCGACAATCTAGTCTGTATTTCCATCCGGTGTGGGTGAGTGATAGTCTGCTTTGATTTTCGTCACAGTGGTTGGTGGTCCCCACCACCTCAGGGTATCAGTTGTCGGGCAGTCGTTGATGCTTAACCACAACCGGTGTTAAGGTGGATTATCACTTACAGTGTAATCAGTTAGGGGATTCTGCATACTGTTTTTTAGGGTTCAGCCTCCTGATGAGTCGGTGAAACTCTGACAAAACAGTTTGTCACAGCCCCTTATTTGTTGTCTTCTTCTCCCTCTCTGCCTAAGGTTTACCGGGCAGCTCTGTTTGACGATATATCGTCAATATATATATATATATATATATATATCGTCACAAACAGAACTGCCCGGTAAACTGTAGGCAGAGAGAGAGAAGAGGACAACAAACAAGGGGCTGTGACAAACTGTTTCGTCGGAGTTTCACCGACTCATCAGGAGGCTATATATATATATATATATATATCGTCACAAACAGAACTGCCCGGTAAACCGTAGGCAGAGAGAGAGAGAAGAGGACAACAAANACTCATCAGGAGGCTGAACCCTCAACAGTCTGCAGAATCCCCTCACTGATTACACTGTAAATGATAATCTACCTTAACCAAAATCAAAGCAGACTATATATCGTCAAACAGAGCTGCCCGGTAAACCGTAGGCAGACAGGTGTGTGTGTGTGTGTGTGTTTCGTGTTTTTTTTTAGCGCCAATGAATACAAGTGAACTTTCGCATCAGATACAGTGATAATGAGGAGTGTGTTCTGCTGCCCACAATTGACAATTATGGCCTGTTACATTCACACTCCATCTCTGAGGGCATACTCACATTGGGACATTTTCCAGTAAGCTCTGGACGTGATTGCAGTCACATTCATGCAGATTGTGCCATATTTGCTGTCAGAATCAGTAAGACAGTTTTAGGAAGGTGATAGTGTGAGTATGGCATGAATGCATACTGGCTATTTTTCAAGTCTGGTTCTGAGAGTAGATTTTTTTCTCTGTGTCGTGAAACACGCAGCCTCTTAGAGATAGAATAAACAGAACAATCAATATTCTCTCTAATAAATACCAATAAATATTATCTATAATCTACAATATGTATTCATATTAAGCAATATCAAGATAGCTCACACACCCACACACACACACAGAGAGAGAGAGAGAGAGAGAGAGAGAGAGAGAGAGAGAGAGAGAGAGAGAGAGAGAGAATGGTACTTTGTGCTTACACCACCAGTACTTCCTAAAGTCGCGTAGTGTTAACGCTACACAATTTGAGGAAACGTACGGGCCACTACAGGAGCGCCCAAATTCATCCAACTAGAAACGTTTCTATTCTATTTTTTTCCGCGGCCGATAGCTGGGCCAAGTAGTGGTGGTTTAAGAGTTCGTAGAGTGGCCATTAGCACTCTCTCTGTCGTGTGAATGTATACGAGAGGTTTTTCAGGTATGATACGGTCATGATGAGGATGATTTATCTAACACTAAGCACCTGCTGTGTTTGAAAATTGCCAATTGGAGATATATAGAGAATAGGCCCTTGTGGAGATGACACACATAAATTGCAAAATCGTACAAAAAAAAAAAAAAAAAAAGTTAACAATAAAAAACACTTTAAATTTTAAAACAGGGCATGCAACCTCATCAGGACTGTGCCAGACCTGAAAGTTAGCTCATATACGTTAAGATATATTCTGCGAGGTTGGTCACGGCAATGACCTCTCCTAGAAATGAATACAAGTGACTTCCCAGGTCGGGTACAGCCGTGATAAGAATGCATTGCTCCCACATACACACACCCAAAAAAGCACGCAAAAAGAAATAAAATTAGAAAACTAATTAAAAGAATGCCTTGGTCACACCAGGTGCAGTGGCACGCAACCTGGCGCACTGCACCTACACACACTCTGTGCCCACTTGTCACGGATTTTTTTTCGCCTCTTGCGCTCTTCGGCAACCCAATTCCAACCAATCGTCAGGCAGTCATAATTATAAGTTTTGGAAAAATTGCAGTCAATTCAGACTTCGTTCCCTATCCTATCCTATCCTACTCTACCGTCTGAAAAATTGCAGTCAATTCGGACTTCGTTCCCTATCCTATCCTGCTCTACTGTCTGAAAAATTGCAGTCAATTCGGACTTCGTTCCCTATCCTATCCTACTCTACCGTCTGAAAATTTGCAGTCAATTCAGACTTCGGTCCCTATCCTATTACTCTACCATCTTCATTCGAAAACAACACCCGGCCATTATAGCTTTAACCAATCGACTCCAATGTTCAGTCCGGCTACGGCAAAAACGACCAGGCGTTCTATTCGGGTGAAGACGGTAGTCACGGTCAGCTTACAGTGAGACTTTTCTATTTTAGAATTCATCTGAGCCCCATCATAGGAGCCTTCGATTGTGGCTCTTTTTCCCGAAAAAAAAAAAAAAAAAAAAAAAAAAAAAAAGACTCTCGCTCTCAACAATGAACGAGTGGATGAATTCATTTTGTCGTACGATCACGAATGCCAAATTAACTTTGACATCAGCAGACAAGTGCCGGGCCAAGAGTTTCGCGGGGCCACCAAGCCCCCTTGAAACTGTGCCTGTGGGACCAGAGTTTGAAGGGCCCACAGATCAAGAGTTCCACGGGGGCCCCACGCTGTGAGCTAAGAACTTCGAAGAAAGGCCCATGGGGCAAGAGTTTCAAAGGACCCCACAGGCCAAGAAGTTTAAAAGCCCATGGGCCGAGATTTTCAAGGGCCCGCTGCACCTAGGCAAACTTGGCACAGGGTACGTGAAGAAGCTGTGACCCTGTGACCACAGTTTGGAGGGCAGGCCGCCTACGGATCAGGAGTTCCAGCGGCCCATCTGCAAAGGGTTTTAAGGGCTCATGGGCCAAGAGTTTCAAGGGCCCATGGGCCAGAAGTTTCGAGGGCCCATGGGCCCAGAGTTTCAAGGCGCCACTGAAACTCTGGTCACGGTTTCAAGGGCACATGGGCCTTGAAACTGTTCCTGCGACCAGAGTTTGGAGGGGCCATGGACCGAGAATTTCACGGGCCCATGGGACCCAGAGCTTCAAGGGCCCACTGAACGCAGGCAGACTTGGAAAATGGGCCCTTGAAACTCCGACCAGTTGGCTGGCCCACAAAAGAAATCACAAGCTTTTGCACATCTATACTAAGCTGCCAGTGCTAGCGGTGCCTGCTCTTACCGGCACCCTTAGCATCCACTCGGGTTGTTGTTGTTGTTATAGAAGCCACAGGAGGGGTGGGGGGGATGAAGGGCCACAGGATTTTCATTTTGATTATAAACGCGGCCTCCGGACTGTAATCCCAGCCAGATATCTGTGACGCCGACCCAGTATCCATGGACATCTTCTCAATCAGCTTTTTGTCGAGGGAAGATAGCAATAAAAATGAATGTAATTGTCGTCATAGTAGAGGACCGCCGAGAGAACTGTACTGTCAGCAGAACTGCCGAGAGGCTGTAACAGAGTTTAAACTTGAAAAAAAAAAAGAAAAAAAAAAAAAGACGGTCGAGGGGCTATGACAGGCAGTTCCATCAGAGTTTCACAGACTCGTCAGCAGGCTGAGCCCTTTACAGTCTGCAGAGTCCCTTAACCGATGATAGTGTACGTGATATTAACTGCTGAGTCCGTATTAACCCTACCTCCCCGACCACAGTCACTGCCACTATCTTTCAAGCTATATGCGACCAAGTGCGGCGGGCTAGCTATATGCCGACGACTAAGAAATACCACAGGAGCAAATGGGCCCTCAAAGGGTACGAGTCTCGGGTGGATCCTTTTTTCGCACCTGTCGATTTAGTGCCACAGACAACCATTGTAGAGTGTATAATGGGACGCTCTTCATATCACCTCCGCTAAGTGGAGCCCTCATGACTCAAAGTCCGAAAG